TACAATTCTGAATAAAATATTAGAGAGGGAGAGGGAGAGAGAGAGAGAGAGAGAGAGAGGAGAGTATGCCAGATTTATAGTGGTTCAGCATATTTGTCATCGTTTTATGCCTACTCTACTCTACAATGGTTTTATATTGAAAATTTGTAGTATTCCACTATGATTTATAGTGGTTCAGCATATTTTCCATCGTTTTATGCCTACTCTACTCTATAATGGTTTTCTATTGAAAAATTTGTAGTATTCCACTATGATTTTGACAACTTTTACAAAGTCTTTTAATGCAATAATAAGATTCAAAATAATGCTGAAAATTAAAAAATCTTTGATTTGAATATTCTCTCTGAATATATACAATGTTTGAAACTAATCTCTGCAAAATCTTTACTTGATCTTAACTTCCACCACCCAAATTCAAGGATTCCACTCCAAACATATGTTTTGCAACAACTTCTCCTATGTTTGAATTGATTGAATGCGACGCAATGAAATGAAATGGAATAATATTATGTTTCATTCTTTGGATTGGTAAGAAGAGGATGGAATGAAGCAGAACATGATGGAACACATTCCATCCTATCCATCATATTCCATCCAATCTTTCAATTTTCATTCTATCCGAACATAGCTCGAAGGTAATAGAAACTGCATATCCATTCGAAGAAGCTTTCACACACAGTCTACCAAAGCAATCTTGGAGAAAATAAACTCCTTCTTTTTCACAGTTGTATTGTCAATCCCAGTCAGAACCATACAAATATGTCAACTTGAAATCTTCAAAGCTTCACAAAACGTTAATCACAAGCGAACCTCCTAACACATATTTGACACCCTAGGTTGAGAAGTTAAACTAAACAACAATGGTAGAAGCTAGAGGTTGAATATGAAGAGAAATTTAGATTGCAAACTAAAAACGAAAGTTGAATTGCTTTTTAAAAGTTTGAGATAAAAGTGTGTTATGTGTTCTAAATCATAAAATGTTATGAGAGGAATTTTAAAAAATGATTTATATATGTGTTGGAGATAAGACACAAAAATGAGAAAAAATACCCATTTGATTTGAATCAAGAGCAAATGGTGAGTCGAGTCAAGAGAGTAAATAATTTGAATCAAGACTTAAAACCAGAAAAACTACTTCTATGATTTGAATCAAGCTTTTCATGATCCAAGTCAAACAAATCCATGATTCAAATAAGAAATACATAACCAAAATCCAAAATCTACAACCAATATTGGATTCAAGTCAAGCCTTTTTGTGATTCGAATTCATACCTCCATGATTCGAGACAAACTTTTATGTGATTCGAATCAAACACACAGAGGAAAAATCCTATTTTTTAAGAATCCATATTTGATCCAAGTCACTCTTTTTCATGATTTGAATCAAGCACACATAATCAGTTCCTGGTTTTTTCACATTCACTTCGATTCGAGTCAGTCAATTCCCTGATTCAAATCACACTTAAAAAAAATCAAATTTTAACAAAAACGAAGTGTTGATTTGAATCGAGACTTGACACTATTTCAATCACGCTCTCATGTGTTTCTTGACCTAAACCTCCGATTGATTGACTAGAAACATATTGTCTTGACTTTAAGAAAATAGTTCGATTTATGCATGCTTAAAAACTATTTAACAACCAACCCTAGAATGTGCAACTATAATAGGAGACTCAATTACGACAACTAAATAAAAATACTAAATTGATAAACAACAAATCATAAACTAGGACATATTTTAGGAGGCATATCAATTTCAGTATAATCCTTTAAAGAAAAATAATAAAAAATATATAAAATATCTATTTTGGTCCCTTAACTATATACCATTGGGTTCAAATTGATCCTTTAACTTTTTTCCGTGTCGCCTTGTTCCCTTAACTTTCAAAATATTTCATTTTAGTCTTTTTTGTTTATTTAGCGACGGTTTCAAAGTTTTTCCGTCGCTAATTAGACAAAAAGGATTAAAATGAAACATTTTGAAAGTTAAGAGACCAAGGTGACACGAAAAAAAATTAAGAGACCAATTTGAATCCAAAGATATAATTAAAGGATCAAAATAAATATTTTACCTAAAAAATAATCAAAGGAGGAGCAACTCCTTGAAAACGAAGAGAAACAATAACTAGTTACATCTCAAATGAAAAACAAAGAATCAGATGTGAGAAGCACATATACAAATCCAAGAGATGAACCAGGATTATGGTAAAAAGAAACAGTCGGTGGGATCAATATCTCAATTTTACGTATTGAGCTAATATGAGGTTGCTTGTATTCCTTCCTAAGATAAATTCTAGGAATGAGAAAGTTTCAATATCAGCATTGACATCACCCCAACATCCGGTCATCCCTAACATCCGGTCATCATGAGAGGCTAGACAGCAGGGAGCAAATTGAATTCGGGGAGAAATTGTGTTATTTCTTATATACTCTTTCGGTTTCTTTTTAAGTGTTATTTTTTATTAAAAAAAATATTCTTTTTTAAGTGTTATGTTTCAAAGTTTAAGATAACATTGTAGTTTTGTCAAAATTACCATTAATCATTATTATAGAAAAAATTAAATAAACTATTAAAAAGTTAAAGATATTATAGAAAAAAAGATAATTATTATTTTAAAAATAATAATAATCATTAGTTATTTTAATATATATAAAAAATTAAAAAATAACAATTAAAAAAGAACAAACGGAATAACTCAATATTATTAGTTGAAGTTATGACATTGGGAGGTAGGTAGCCCCTTAAGTGTTGTCATTGTTGTAATCAAAAGGGACTCTTGGAATCTACCAGTTCCTCTTCTATTTTCCTTTCGCATTACGTTGTGGGAGATGCCATAATTGTTTTTGAATCTGAATTTTTCTATCTATGTATTCTCTATTTATAGAGTTGTTAAAATGGGTCTGGTCTATCGGATCGACTCATAAGCCCTTTAATTTATCACGGGTTGGATTGCAAAATAATTTTAAAAAATACGATTCTATCTTTTTGGTCCAGTCCATTAGATCTATGTTTTTTATGGGCTGGGCTGAGTCAGATCAAACGGACTTCGGACTGATTCATTAAAAAAATATTTTGGTAAATTTTGGAGAAAAAAGATTGAGATAAAATATGATTGCATAAGTGTGTTTTCAAGTGATACAAAAAAGTTAAAGAGGATGAAGATATATTTTCAAGATGATGTGATGAAGGAAATGGTTGTGAGATGAAGAGAAAATTTAATAAGTATTAGTGATAATTACTATGTACTATATTGATTTGATGGATATTTTAAACATCACTTAATTAAATTTATATAATATTAAAATATGAATCAGATTGATCCATCAGACTTCACGGACCTTTGAAAAATGGGTCACGTTCATTTTTTTGTAGTCTATTAAACAATCGGGTCAGACCGAACTAACCCATTTAAACACTTTAACCCACTGAACCAAAGCAGGCTGGATTGGGCCGGTCAATTTAATAGCTCTATCTATTTACTATTAACCTCGATCTTTTTTATAAAAATCTATTTACTTTTTAAGTTCAAATGAATATGCTCTTGATCTATATTGTTCAAATATTTAATATAAACAATTTATTTACATAAGTATATTATAAAAAAATAAAATAAAAAATATGATTGTCAATGATTGGACAAACCATAGACTAACAGCTCACAAATATCTAACCCCAATTAACAAATATCAACTGAGCTATCCAAGCCACCAATGGAGTCTAATTATTAAAATATAATTCATTAACCTATTATTTATTTAGTCTCACCTATATTACTCGCAATGAGGTGTTGAATAAATTTTTCAATAGTTGAATTACTTAAATGAATTGTTGAATAAAGTGTTGAATGTGACATAAATTAATTTGTGTTGAAAACATTCAACAGGTTGAATGAGAAATGAGTAAGAGTCAGTTATAATATTTTGTAAAATATAATTGATTGTTGTGATTGTTTATATTTTTATCTTAGCTAAATTATTTGGAATCAATTATTTTATAGAAAATCAATTTTTTATTTATTTTTATTTTCACCAAAATTCATTTTTTGGGTCTATAAAAAATCTATTTTTTCTCTCTAATTTTTCTATTTAATCTCTAAACAATTTTTTTAGTGAAATAAATCCCAACAATAACCCTCTTTAACACTCAAATTATTGTTTATATTTTTTTTGTAATTACGAATATAAAATTAGAGGGAAAAAAATAAAATAAGTTTTTAAATTAAAAAAAAATTTAAAAAAATTATTTAACTCTTAATTATTTTATTTAATTTCAATTGATAATTATTATTAATATATAATCAAAAAAATAAAAACATAAAAAGAAAATAAAAATATAAAATAAAAATAGTGGAATAAAAAGTTGAATTTTATTAAACAAAACCATTGTAATGAGTAAAAATTGAATGAGTGTTGAATTATTAAGTGAAAGAGAGAGAAGATGACGTGGAGTGTAAAAAATGAGAAAAATAGATATTGAATAATTTTATCATCATAGATAATCTTACAAATTAAGAGAGAATAAGTAGATGATAAGCACTTTTCATTAATCAATAAAAATTCCATGAAAGAAAAACGAAAGAATTTCTAAGCAAAATAGGTTCTTTCAACCATTATAATTTTGTATGTTCAATATTTGCAACAAAAAAAATGTTGCTCCAAAAACTGGAACTATTCAAAAAAATCTATCATAAAATTCATAAAAGTTCCCGCTATATGGCTGCTATGTACCGCAACAGCACCAAAATAATAAACCACTTGAAATTCTATTGCAAACATTTACCGACCAAAAAGGAATATTTAACAAAAAAATAACTTCAAACAGTTTGTTTTCCAGAGATTCTCTCAATTGATGATGATCAAACATTTTTGGAAATATATCGTCCAACATCAAAGGCAGATACCTCTTTCAGTTGAGATTTGAATCCTTACTCGTCATGTGGTGAAGTCTGAATTGTTCTGCTAAATCCAACACCAACTGTAAAATCTCAACTATTCATCTATCAGTGTGCATTCGTATGCTTGAGTTTTTTAGTCTTTGCTGATTTAGTTCCTGCAAAAACATAACCGAAAATATGAGTAAGCAACATATTTTTTTTATCCTTTATTTGAGTTTGGAAGTGAAGAGAATAAATAACTCGGAAGATAGAATAGAAATGACGAGTAAGGTTCCACTTTGCAGGAGATTTTTCTTTTCATTGGACAAACATTCAAATATGGAGAAATTCTAAATCCAAACGAGGGAGAGCTTTGAAGGTTTTTTTTTAATGAATTTCAAATTTATTATAAAGAGAGTGTTGAAATGGCACATATAATAGAAAAGATGGAGAAAAATATACTCAATTGATTTAGATATGTAGGAAGAAAATTTAAATATTATATTGTAAGAAAAGTAAATCAGATAAAGAGAAATCAAACAACTAAAGATAAAAGAAGATTTAGAAAGACTATAATAAAAGTCATTAAAAAATCACGAGAATATCAATTAGAATATAAGCCTGATTCATAAATAAAATATTATAATCTCATTTAGTGAGATAAGACCACTTGTTATTAAAATAAAAAGTGAAAATTTCATCTATTTTTAACTTCTAAAGCTCTCTTCTCTATTTCTCTTTCAATTCTAAAAAAACATTATGGTATATAAAATGTTTAAAAGTTATGATATAGAGCAGAAAATTCTTTGCCAAAGATATATATTAATGTTTGGTATAGATTTTGAAATAGGCAAAAGTAGTTTTATGAGTATATAATTGATCCTGAAATGATTGAGGTGTTTGATTCTTTTAAAGGAGAATTGATTATGATTCTAGAGTTAATTCTATTTGAAATTAGAATTTGTAACTTTGGAGTTTTAACGTGATTTTTACACTGAAATTTGTTGTTGAACTCACTTTTATATAAATGTATTCAAACATAAATCACTTTAAATCCAACTCATTTTAAGTGAAATTAATTCACTCTAAATCAATTTTCGTCACCACAGAACCAAACACACACATGGTCAAGATAAAAATGTTTGGACTACGAGGTATGTTTGGTTTAACTTTTGGAAGAGTCAAAAGCAATTCTAAAGGTGTAGAAATGATTTTGAAGTGTTTGGTTTTTTAAAGTATAATTGATTTTACTTGAAGCAAAATTTTGTAATTTTGAGTTTAAACGTGATTTTTACACAAAATTGTTGTTCAACTCACTTTTACATAATTATATCCAAACACATAAATCACTTTACATCCAATTCACTTTAGACCTGAGTTTACTCACTCATAATCAATTCTCCTCCCCCACAAAACCAACCATACATTTATAGCATGTTTGATTTGGCTTTTGGAATAGTCAAAAGCAATTCTAGAATTGTAGAATTGATTCTGTAGTGATTTTGGATTGTTTGGTTCTTCTAAAGTAGAATTGATTTCGCCTTCAGAATTAATTCTACTTGAAGTTATAATTTGTAGCTTATGAGTTTAAACGTGATTTTACACTAAAATTTGTTGTTCAATTCACCTTTGCATAAATGTACTCAGACATAAATCAATTTTGTTAAACTCAATTCTATTAAAATCAATTATATCAAACTCAATTCTGTCAAAATCAATTTTGTCTACCGCCTTACAAAATGTTTAAAGTGTCACAAACATTATTCTTCTTAAATCTCAGCTCAAAGAAAAGATTAGTCAAACAAGATATAGCATGAGCAAGACCGAATTATGAAACTGACCTTTTTGTTTCTTATCTCGGCAGTGAGCGCTTCCACAACAGCATTTAAATGCTTTAATAGGATGGGTATGATCATCAAAGTCAATTCCATAATCCTGCAAACAATTGGTCACATCTTTATTTTTAGCTTATTTCACATAAACATCAGAAGAATGTGCGTGTCATTTCTATAATAGTTTCCTGTACATATCAAGCAGCTTATTTCACATAAACAGCTTATTTCACATAAACATCAGAAGAATGTGCGTGTCATTTCTATAATAGTTTCCTGTACATATCAAGCAGCTTATTTCACATAAACATCAGATGAATGTGTGTATCATTTCTATAATAGTTTCCTGTACATATCAAGCAGTGGATTGCCATGGATTCATTTTTTCTTAAATCATCATAATAAAATACTGTTCTTGCAAGTATTCGAATACAATTACTTCCGAAGGATTTATTTTAATTGGGAATAAATTAATAATTCTAACAACTTTATTATTTCCTTCTTAACTCATCATTAATATTTAAAAACAAATAAGAGAATGTCTCAGATTTGTCACTTACCCATGTCAACTCCTCGTATGCACTCACATTTCTTTTTGTAAAGAGGGCTAGCTGCATACAAAGATCAAAACAAGCTATAAAACCATCCTCAAAAAGTTAATTTTCATAATCCTCCATTTATTTAATAGAAAAATAACCATCAACCATTTGTTTAAATTCACTAATCCTAATTTTGAAGTAATTTATCTTTGGTGTGAAGCATGATAATATTGTTCATCTTTTATTATAGAACAAAAGTCTTTGACATAATAATAAAATACAGTATAATATAAAATGAGTATAATTTAGAGGCTAAGAGTGCAAATAGAATTTAATATCACAGACCAATTTGAAAGAAAAAAAAAAGGTAGACTTAATTTTGCCTACTATGTCTATATAGTGATAATTTAAAAATAAAATTGTTTATTTATTCAATAAATATATAGAGGTGGTTGAGATGGCTCAACAAATGATAGTTAAGTTAAATGAGTGTAACTTATTACTCTAAAGTTTAATCTCTAACGACAACATTTATTTATATTTATGAGTAAACAAATTTATAAGCATAAATTCTTACATGATAATAGTGGCGATCAGGTGTCTCTACTTCAACTGGAATATCTATCAGATTTGCATCATTACATCTGAAAAAGAAAAAACATGTTGGTTATAAATATACAATAATATAATACAGAAGAACTCCAAAAATAACCATCAGTACTTTTTTTTTGGACAAATATATATATAATGAGAATTTAAAGATACTATCAATAAATTACAGGAAAATCTAAAATTCACTACAAATTTTAGTTGAATGTTTTTTCTGTGCATATTTACTTTTAATAACACAAATATTATTGCATGTAAGAGAAAACAAAATATATCAATAAACGAAAAGTAGAAAGAGAAAATGTTGTTCCGTGTTAGATTTTGACATAAATGAAACAAACAAAAAGAAACAATCATAGATTAAGAATAAATTAAGAGAGAATAAAATAAAGCATGAATTGTTTAAATTAACTTATAAAAAGTTTATATATTAATCAAATTAAACAATAAGCCCATAAAAAATGATTAATGATAATGATTTATAAAAATTAGAACTTTTTTATTAGAGTATAGGATACAGGAATCAGGGCTTCCCTTGTAATAGGTATTGAGCTTTGGCCCAATCCTCTCCCCGTGTAGCTTAATAGTAGTGTAAAAGAATCGTAGCTTAATAGTAGTGTAAAAGAATCAGTATAACTGCCTATAATAATTGCCTATAATTGTCTAGTCTATAATTGCCTATAATAGAAATCCTATTTTAAATACAATTATGATACTATTTCCATATATACTTTGACAGCTATATGGATATGCATTGCCATCATGTTTACACGCCTATAGTAGTTATATTGCCAACACATGTTTGCTTGGGTTTTGACCTTCTTGAATGTCTTGATATTTGCTTTGACCTTCTTTAATGTGAATAATATGTGCTTATCCTTAACACCCCCCTCAAGTCGGAGGTGGGATTGAAATCTCAAGAATACCCAACTTGCCGAGTAGTCGTTTATAAGTATCGCCTCCAAGAGGTTTAGTAAATATGTCAGCTAGTTGGTCAAAAGATCGGAGATAAGAAGGGCTGATAAGACCTGATTTAATTTTCTCACGAACGAAATGACAATCAATTTCAATGTGTTTTGTGCGTTCATGAAAAACTGGGTTTTCGGCAATGTGAATAGCAGCTTGACTATCACAATGAACGGTGATCGGTTGAGGATGATCAATGCCGAGATCCGAGAGAAGATATTTTAACCATTGTAACTCGGAAGATAAAGTTGCAAGAGAACGATATTCTGCTTCAGCAGAGGAACGAGAAATTGTTGGTTGCTTCTTGGTTTTCCATGATATAGGATTAGAACCCAACATGGTAAAATAGCCGGTAGTGGAGCAACGAGTAGTAGGACAACCAGCCCAATCAGAGTCGGCATATTCAACTAAATTGAGGGAGCTAGAAGCCGAAAGAAATAAGCCTTTGCCGACACTCCCTTTAAGATATCGGAGAACTCGTGTGGCCGCATCGAGATGAGTTGTACATGGAGATTGCATGAATTGACTGAGAGTGTTAACAGCGTATTGGATGTCGGGCCGTGTCACTGTTAAATATAATAGACGACCAATGAGGCGACGATAGATTGTCGGATCAGGAAGAGGGCTTCCTTCATTGGGCCGTAGACGGAGGTGTTGCTCCATAGGAAAATCTGATGGTCGGCAACCAGTCATACCAGAGTCGGATAAAATGTCAAGTGTATATTTCCTTTGGCATAAGAATATTTCCTTTTTAGAACGGGATACTTCGATACCTAAGAAGTATGAAAGATTTCCAAGATCTTTGATGGAAAGGCCTGGGCGAGAAATTTTTTGATGTCGGAGATAGCGTCTTCGTTATTTCCAGTGATGATGATGTCATCTACATAAACGAGTACAAATATAGTCGTGTGATTACTTTTGAAAGTGAATAGACTATAATCAGAGATGGATTGATGAAAACCCTTTTGAATGAGGGTGGTGGAGAATTTTGAGAACCATTGACGGGATGCCTGTTTGAGACCATAGATGGATTTGTTTAATTTGCAAACACATGGTTTCCCTTCATGAGAGAAGCCGGGTGGTAATTTCATGTAAACTTCTTCATTAAGGTCTCCTTGAAGGAAAGCATTGTTAACATCAAGTTGATGTAACTGCCAGTTTTTAATGGCAACAATGGAGAGAAGGAGTCGAACCGTGACAAGTTTGGCAACCGGTGCGAATGTTTCATGGGTAGTCAATACCATGTACTTGATTGTAGCCTTTGGCGACTAAACGAGCCTTATATCGCTCAACGGTACCATTAGAGTGATATTTAATTTTGTATACCCACTTACAACCTATGGCGGTTTTGCCATTCGGGAGAGGAGATAAAACCCAAGTGTTGTTGGATTCAAGGGCGTGAATTTCTTTAGCCATAGCGTCACGCCATTCAGCTGATTTGATAGCTTGAGAATAAGATGTTGGTTCTTTATTTTCAATGATATTAAGAAGAAGAGCTCGATGAGAAGTGCTCAAATTGGATAAAGAGAAATAATTCTTTAATGGGAAGGCACTCTGTGATGTGACATTATTAATGTCACATACGTGGTCCATGAGGCGAACGGAAGGAGTACGAAGACGTTGAGGATAACGACGTTCTGCAGGATCGATCGCTGTAGGTGAATGTTGTTGGGGAGTTTCTACAGGAATAGATGTAATATTGGATGGAATATTCGATGAGTTATCATCCTGAGGGGTGGAAATGGGCACAATCGTGTCATCATGATGACTAATGCCAGGAGAGATACTTGATGCAGGTGATAAGTTGGAAGAGGAATCATCAAATTCACAATCAAGGATTTGAGTGTTGATGCTTATGTCGTTAGCGATGGAAGGAGTTTGAAAGTCGTGATATGGAAACATGGTTTCAAAAAATTGAACATCGCGAGAGACATATATTTTGCGAGTGTGCATATCGTAGATGCGGTATCCTTTTTGATTAAAAGGGTAACCGACAAAAATACCAGGTTTGGCTCGTTCATCGAATTTGTGTTGAATGTTCATATTTTTGGCAAAACAGAGACATCCAAACACACGAAGTGATGAGTATGAAGGAGGAGAACCGAGTAAAATTTGATGAGGAGATTTATATTTCAAGATGGGAGTAGGAAGTTTGTTTATGAGATAAGCGGCAGTGAGCACGCATTCGCCCCAAAAGGAAAGGGGTAATTTCGCTTGGAAACGTAATGCTCTTGCGACGTCGAGAAGATGACGATGCTTGCGCTCCACAACGCCATTTTGTTGAGGGGTTGCAACGCAGCTGCGTTGATGAATAATGCCATGATCATGAAACCATGTTTGGATTTGTTTGGACAAAAACTCCGAACCATTGTCGGAACGAATAGCTTGAAGTTGGGGAAGAAAGATGCCCCCATCGCCGGAATTAATTTTATTAATTTTAGTGTTGAATTGGCGATTGATTTGATTAAAAAAATGAATTAGCATAGTAAATGTTTCAGATTTATGTTGCATGAGATATAACCAAGTACATCGTGAATAATCGTCGACAATTGTTAAAAAATATTGTGATCCATTGTGTGGAGTAGAGAATGGACCCCAAATATCGACATGAATTAACTCAAAACAATGAGATGAATATGATGTTCTTGAAGAAAAAGGTAAACGTGATTGTTTTGCACGCGGACAAACGTCACAAATAAAATCTTTATTCGCATTAATATTTGGAGAGTTCTTAACAATAAATTGAAAACGGGAAATAGATGGGTGACCGAGGCGTAAATGCCATAGGTCAGCCTTATTACATTGCTTAGAACTAAAAAAAGAACTTGGTGGATGGTCAACACAATAGTGATCGTTGTCATCTTTATTTAATGGTGGTTCTTCATTCAAGTAGAAGAGTCCATTCCGAGCACTACCCCGACCAATCGTCTTCTTCGTTGCTCGGTCCTGAAATATGCAACCAGAGGATGAGAAAATAATATCACAATGTTGTTTCTCTTCCTGGCGTACGATGTTATAAATACGCTGAATTGAAGGAAAGGGATCCATGAGGAGAATTTGGCTGCGGACGGTCGAGAATCGGTCATGGACGCCCTGAAGAAATTCCATGGCCCGGTCCTGATTTTGTTGATCAATAATACTCTTGGCATTACCGCAGATGCACGGATTGATAGGTGCGATGGAATGGAGTTCATCCCAGAGAGATTTCAACTGAGTAAAATACAGAGATACAGATATGCCCTCTTGTTTTAGGGCAGAGATAGATTGTTTCAATTGATAGATTTTCGGAGCGTTGGACTGAGATAAACGATCCTTGAGATCGGTCCAGATTTGTGCCGCCGTTTCAGCATAGAGAATGCTAGGGCGAATCTCGGTTGAAACCGAGTTGAGAATCCAGCTTGCAACCATATCGTTGCAGCGGCGCCACTTAGAGATATCATCGGCCTTCTTTGGACAGATTAGGGTTCCATCGACAAACCCGAATTTGTTTTTGGCACGAAGTGCCATTGTTACGGCTCGGCTCCATGAACCATAGTTGTCGACCGTGAGCAGAGGTGTAACAAGGACAGTTGCAGGGTTGTCGGAATGATGGATGACACATGGATCGGTGTTGGAGGTGGTGGCGGATTGATCATTGGTGGGTGGTGGAACATCAGACATGATGATGCGAGTGAGTGAGTGAATCGATGAAGAAGGATTGAAACAGGATGATAAACACAAACTGGGGGATATTAACCAGAGAAAAACTGATACATATTATTCACATTAAAGAAGGTCAAAGCAAATATCAAGACATTCAAGAAGGTCAAAACCCAAGCAAACATGTGCTGGCAATATAATTACTATAGGCGTGTAAACATGATGGCAATGCATATCCATATAGCTGTCAAAGTATATCAGGAAATAGTATCATAATTGTATTTAAAATAGGATTTCTATTATAGACAATTATAGACTAGACAATTAGTATACAGATCCTTGTACTCTTATATATATATATATATATATATATATATATATATATATATATATATATATATATATATATATATATATATATATATATATATATATATATATATATATATATATATATATATATATATATATATATATATATATATATATATATATATATATATATATATATATATATATATATATATATATATATATATATATATATATATATATATATATATATATATATATATATATATATATATATATATATATATATATATATATATATATGTACATCATTACAAGAATAAATATAAAAAATTCCGATACAATATTCAAGAATTTATATGGTATCAGATTTTCTCTGGTTAATATCTCTCAGTTTGTGTTTATCATCCTGTTTCAATCCTTCTTCATCGATTCACTCACTCACTCGCATCATCATGTCTGATATACTTCCAGCCTATGGAAATCTTGGTATGCATCAGTCCAATATGTGGACACAACCTGGATACAGGGCGCCTAATTCTATGTCTTTCTCCTCTCCCAGGTCTGTAAATCCCTCTATGCAGTCTCAATACACAGCACCAAGGCCTCAAACTTTAGTTGCTAGCACTGACTACTCTCCATTCTACAATCAGGTCTGGTACCCTGATTCTGGAGCAACTCACCATGTCACCCCTGATGCCTCAAATCTCATGGATTCTATTTCTCTCTCTGGTTTTGATCAAGTCCATGTGGGAAACGGACAAGGTTTGACTATTACCTTCTCTTGGTTCTACGAATTTTACTTCCAATATAGTATGCCCTAATACATCTCTTAAACTAAACAATCTTCTCTTAGTACCTTCAATTACTAAGAATCTTGTGTGTCAGTCAGTTTGCTAAAGATAACTCAATCTTTTTTGAGTTTCATGCTAACACTTGTTTTGTCAAATGTCAGGCTACCTCTAAGATGTTGCTGAGTGGCTCGCTTGGTAGTGATGGCCATTACAAATTTGATAGCTCTCCTCAACCATCCTCCTCTCAAGTCCTCAGTGTCACAAAGCCAACATCAAGACACAAGCTCATTTCATCTTATATAGGACCTAGTCTAGCTTTACCTATCAGTTGTAATAATGTTAGTCCTCATTCCTCTAGTTCCAGCTTGTACCAAAAATTAGGGCGTCCTAGTCATGAAACTTTAAAGCATGTACTTCAACTTTGTAATATACACATTCCTAATAAAAGCTTAAATGACTTCAGTAATGCTTGTTGTATGGGTAAGGTTCATAGACTACCTTCTACTGCCTCCACAAATGTGTATGCTAAGCCTCTAGAATTAATCTTCTGTGACCTATGGGGACCCTCCCGTCACCTCTTCCTGTGGATATACTTATTTCCTCACTTGCGATGATGCTTATAGTTGGTACACATGGGTATATCCCCTAAAACTAAAATCCCATACACTCACAACTTTTGTTCAATTCAAAGCTCTTGTTGAGCTACAACTTAATCTCGAAATAAAAGCTGTCCAAACTGATGGTGGTGGTGAATTTAAACCTCTCACTCACTTCCTAACTTCTCATTGAATTATTCATAGAACCACATGTCCCCATACCCATCATCAAAATGGGTCTGTAGAAAGGAAACATAGAACTACCTCTTAAATTTTTCTTTGTCCATTATTTGTAAGACTCTTGAATTTCAAAATGCATCAACAATTCTTTTATTCATATACTCTAATTATCTTTCTATAACATGCATATTCTTAATTACGTTTGATGTTGTATTCATAAAAATTTATTTTAATTCTACTTAATTGAGTGGAAAGTATAATAATTTATGTTTGAATATATTCATGCAATTGTTTTTGACTCTTCTAAAATGAGAACCAAAAACACACATTAAATAATTTCCTTATAAGAATAAATTTGTAAAATTATACAAAATAGTCAACAAACTTAATACTTTAATTAACTTTATTAATTCCTGTAATTTATTTTAAGAGGTCTTATATTTAATAATGGAGGTAGGAAAACATATATTATACTAAAAAACAGCATTGCAAAATACAACCTTAAAGAAAAAGTGTTTGAGGTTATTCAATTTAGTCAACGAGAAATATTTTAGTGAATTTTGAAAATCACCTGTGATTGATGAATCTTGCAACATTCCCATTATGTGTTGCATCCAAGCATAATGCCTCCTCATCCTTTAGACCCACTTCTGAGCCCCAATCCGCATCAAGCGTTACAGGATATGTATGTCTGTCATTGCTGGTACTCAGGACAATCCTATCATATAACTCTGTGTTGGTTAAAATTTCTCCGGCATATTCACATACAAAGCTTCCCATGGGTAAATCTTCTAAGCTTCTAACGCCCCAGCCCTTTCCCTGATCAGTCAAGAAAACCTGAAAAATAATAGATAACGTGTCAATCATAGAAACGTAAATAAATATTTTATCTAATAACCATGACAAAATAAAACTAAACAAACGTAAATAAATATTTCAACAAACAAGCTGCAAAAGTATTCAGAGAATAGTTTTAAAGAAATAGTGAATCAAAGACACAAACCCTTCACTAAACACATTGCAAATCTCACCTGCCTTAACTTCATCTACTAACCATAACAAAATATTAAAGCAAAGTAAAGTAAATAAAATTCTCATCAAATAAATTGCAAATCATTCAGAGAAAAGTTTACCTGCAATTTCCGGCTTAAACCTCGTTGTACTACCCGATTTCCACACTGCATGTCACATCCACATTTCCTCCAGCACTCCTTTATAAACTTCCTAACCAGATGTCCCCTGCATGGTTCAGGTTTGCTCTCGTTCTTAGACCTCTCAATTGGGCATTCTTTACAATACACATAATGATGAGCTTGGGGTTCATTTATGCAATCTGTGAGAAATTTTTCTTTTAATAAACCGTTTGAAGAGTAAGCAAACTCTCCACCAGTTTCTTGAGAGCAAGCACAAGGAAATGATAAGGAAAGACAGTCGCCTGAACAATCAGCACAGCAACCCTCATCCGCAATCCGAGCCAGTGAAATGTTGACATTAGCACACTGATAAATCACATTACCCGGAATGTAGTTAAACTTCGGAAAATCCTCACTTTCAGTTTCATCTAATAATGATACTTTGACATTTTCAGAACCTTTTGTTATGTCATCGACATATCTAACTGACTTCTTTTTATCTTCAGCAAGAGCTTGCCTTGACCCCTTTGATAGGGATTTGATAGAAAGATTTCCATTTGAAGCGCCAAGTGAGCCTAAAGAAAATCAACAAGAAATTCACAAAGCGGCATACATATCAAGAAACTTCAAACTAAGTTCAGGTTTATAACAATATATGCTTTTCTTAAGACAGCAGACAACAAAAGGAAAATAGTAAAAGACAATCAGTTAGAAAGCCTGTCATAATTACCATTGTGTGTTGTAATCTTCTTCTGATGGTGATCACTTGACATATTTTTCCTTTGATGGCTAGGTTCCTTTGAATATAGCCCTGCAGATGAAGCTGCCGCAGAGTAACTTTTTTTACCTCTAGCAGCCATGGAAGGTAAGCTTGACATCCTTTCATCGTCACTCAATCTTCTCTGTGATAGAAGTTTGTGTGACGATGAAGTTTGAAATGGTTTTATACATTTCTGTTGAGTCTTGGGAGGTTTGTCATTATCTTCTACAGGAGCTTTTCTCTTGTGTTCTTCTGGCTTTTAGAAAGAATATAACAGTGTCAGAAAAAAAACGGACAATATAAGTATTATAAGGATATATATATATATAAACAAACTAGCAAAGGATGTTCAAGAAACCTTTTCTTCCATTGGCTCAAAGTACGCATCTATAAGGGTCCTATAGTTGTCATCTTCAATAAGCTCCCAGTTTTTATCGTACACTTTAAGCAAATTTCTCAGCACAGGTTTCACCTCTTCCTTAGAGATTCCCAAGTTCTTCATGGCATCATAGGCCTTAATAGCCCTTGAGTCATTCATAGCATCATAGCTCTTAGCAGCCCTTGGATCAGTAGTCATGTTAATTCCAAAAGTAATTTTGCACAATTCTACACTATCACAACAGCTACTCGTATGCCAAGACTTTTTTGCTACTCCAAATTGCTTTTTACCAATCCTTGCTATCAACTTGAACTTTATAAGTCACAATGGTTAATCATTTTCCTGCAAATTGCAAAATGAAATCAGAGCAATGCCTAAGAGAGGTTCAGTGCATTAAACAGAAAGTTATTGTAGAACAAATAAAAACAAATACAGTATTATCAGTATATTTCAAGAGAACTTTACAGCAGAAAAATAAAATAAAGGAAAACATCAAAGAGACGTCTTTCTCCATATTCTATATAGTGCAAACTTAAGGAGTTATTACAGTAAACTGACAGACCTTGATCAAACACTTACATAGAACAAAAGCACAAATCGTAAATTGAAAGAGAAACAATCTTTTAAAAGTATTAATGAATAAACATTACTATATATCTAATTACAGTACTATTTCTAGTTGTATCCATATAAATATCAAAAAAGAAAATAATTAAATAAAGTACAACACCTGCTTTGTAGAAAAAGTCATACTACTAGCAACAAGGTGGATGTTCACACTGTAATTCAATTTAAATCTGGTAGTGAGATCAATAGAAGCAAATAAAAATAGCAGCATTTTGCATTCATGTCATTTCAAAAAACCTCAATAAGGATTTGACAATATCCAAGAAATCATTAACAGGGAACCTAGAACTCAAAGGGGAGTATTCCAATAACCTGGTCGTGCCCATATACTTAGTATATTTGGACATTAGTCTACTCAGTGTTTAACAAAAGTAAATAAAAATATGTTGATTACATATCAGTTACACATCCCAATGAACCTCTATTTACTCAGGTGCATGTTGGTCTGCATTGCAAAACGTGAGATATTACTAATAAGCTTTTTTTCCATTGGAACTAAATTGAATCACATTGCTATTTCACCGCATCAAAAGTGAAGAGTTAACTTAGAGGGCCTTTTTTGGTATATTTTGCTTTAGAGTTTTGCTAAAAGTTTGGAGCAGCTGGAATAATGTTAAAATGAAATTATGCTTATGTTTTGATTGCTTACCTCCCAATGTTTAAAATCTTCTTATGAACATCAGTTTTTGAGAAATATGTCTTTTAAAGTGAGATTGTTCTGAAAGTGCAAATAAAGGTGTAATTAACAGCATTACCAACAACCAAAGCCTTATTTCACTAGATGGAGTCAACTACAAATTAAACAAAGCCATGATAGTCTGTCATGATTATGTTTGCTGATAGACCGTATAGATCCAAATCTCCCAACAGTTTGTCCTCTAGTTATCCTTGATTTCTTTCTAACTCTAACGGTTGACTGTCCTTCCTTAGGTCTACCTTTTTTATTGGTCATTTTAGCCATCTTCTCCATACAAACCCAATAAAAGCACCTAAAATGAAACTCTTATCATCTTTTCTACAATGAACTCTATCCCAAAACTGCTAAATGGTTTCATTTATTAATTCTGTACTGTGTGACAATTCATCCATCATAATACTCTTGTCTCTAACACTAAGCTTACTTTGTATTAGCACTTTATCATCAAGTACTGAGTCTCGTATCGTAAGACATTATAAACCTTATAGTTGTTCAATAAAGTTTTCTTTTAAACTAGAATTGTACATTTCTATCACAAAATACGTCTTTAGTATCCCTCCATTTCATCAACCCTGCATAGATAATATGCTGATTTCTTTTTCTATCTTGTTGTCTTTGTATGATGGACCTAAGTTAAGTTTTATTCGCATAGTTTAAGTTATACAGCCTTGTGAGCTTAACCCACTACAATTCAAGAAAATATAAACTCATACCTATGCAGTGTTCACTTCAAAGGGGTCACTATGCATTTTGATGAAATACATATATATAACTTTTCAATTTAAAATTATAATCACCTCTAAGTGTAGTGGTGTATAAGGTTAATCTAGTGTGCCTAGGATGAAGTCCTTGAATTGGCATTTTTTAATGAAACAAAACAATAAAAATAGAAAAATTGGAGTTGAAGACTCGACCCGCAACCTAAGATTCACAAAACGAGTTCTAAGCTGCTGCGCTACTTTCTAAGGTTCATTACTATGCTCAATAATTAATATATCAAAATTGCATAGGCTCCTACAATAATGCATTTAATTTACCTGGAGAAGGAAAACTTGATTAGCTTTTTGCTCCTTTAGAAAAACAAACTTCTGTTCTGCATCAAAACAGGAAAGAATGCTGCCAGAGTGAGATATACAGCAATGAACATTATAAGGCTTTTAAAATTTGGAATCCAATCTCGAGCAAGCAATATATAAGCCCTCTATTATTATAGAGACCAGATACATCAGTTAATCAACCAGATAAAAAAAAAAAGTCAATTTTAAAAATATAATAGTGACCACAAAGAATAAGGATTTATGTATAAGCTATAAAATAAAGTTACAAGATGTTTTCATAAGCTATCACAGAGAGCTTATAAAAAAGTTGAAAACAAGTGTCATAGTTTGTATCCATCAACTTTTCCAAACAATCTCACAAGTGATCATGTCGATAATGATAAATAAGTTTAAATAAGTCAATCAAAACAAACTCATGATACGACCGATACGAATTGATAGATACGGATAGAAATAAGTCAATCCAAACATTCCACAGCGAGATATATATGTAATGTATATTACAATCCTGGAACAAGCCCCTTTTCACCTCATTTTGCTCTGGGAACATTAAAATACAACTAATGTGATGAAAGAGTGCACATTTTAACAAGTGGCAGCAAAGACTTACTGTGAAATAGTACTCTTCCAACGAACAAGCATTCAGCGAACGGAGACAAAACCAAAATCACATCACGCTGAGCCACTGAACCGAATCCTACAGAAACGAAAAAATGTAGGTTAAATTATCTTTCAACTTGACATTGTCGTTGTCTGGAAACCAAAACCCTCCATGCAAGCACAATCGTCAAAATACAAAATCGATTTCACATACATGCAGTAGTAGCTCCGATGGAGTAATTTGAATGGAAGAATGAAAAATGAATATCAAGAATGAGGGAACGAAATGTGATTGATCGATGTAACAGCGAAGAGTGAAGCTTCCCTTGAAGAACACGAAACGTGAACGTGGCGTATAAAAATCGGAGCGAAAAGGGAATAGTAGTAGTAATGACGACGAAGAACGAGTTCAAGAATCGTAAACCCTGAAAAGGGTAAGAGTAATGTGTATTCGGTTTTGCTCCCAAAAATCAGTGGAAAAAAAAAAGCGTGCGCGACTGCGTTTGCGTATTTATTCAGGAGGAAGGCGTACAGTTGCGGGTCTGGTATTGGGTCCAGTAGTTTGTTGGTATATACACGCGTACGCGAGATTAATTTGTATTTTTTATTCACTATTTGGGCCTAGAGAAACGAGTAAAGTGTACAAATATTTTAGTATAATATTATGTACTTGAGAGAAAGAGTATAAATCAAATATATTTACCTAATAAATCGATCTCAATTGTTAATTTGAGATTAATTCATCACATGTTACCAATTTGTCATCTCATAATGAAATAGCCTATTGTAAGTTCATAATAACTCATTCACCATATTTGGTTTAGTTTTTGCTAGATGAAAAAAAGAAATTTTAAAAGTGTTAAATTGATTTTAAAGTGTTTGATTGTTTTAAGATAAAATTGTTTCTGCCTTTAAAATTAATTCAACTTAAATTTAAATTTTAAATTTTTTTAATTTAAATGTAATTTTTATATTAAAATGTAGTGTTTAATTTAATTTTATTTAGAATTATCTAAAGTTAAACTATTTTAGATTCAACTCATTTATAACACATATCAATTTTAAAAAATAAAATCATTAACACTATCTTTGGTTGCATCTAAAGTTGAAGGAATGAAAGGAGAGTAGAAGAAAGTGAGTGGAAAGAATAAGTTTCTATTGTTTAATTCAATGCTATAAATAGAGGAAAGAAAGTTTTTGTTGGATCCCACGTAAAAAAAAACTTTCTTCTCTAAATTGGACAGAAAGGCAAGGAGACAAAAATGACTATTTACTAGACCATATAAAATGAGATATCATAAATAAATTGCTTTAATCATCATATTTTTTCAATAATTAAAAAAATCGTAAGTTTTTTAAAAACATTATATAATAATTTATTAATAAAATTAGTAATAATTTTTACATGATTTTAAAACAGTTAATAAAATACAATTTAAAATTTATTTTTTAAAATAATATGTTTATCTAGTCTTTTTATTATTTAAGTATAGATATAACTAATATATATTTTACATTAATAATTCATTTTATATTTAGAGATATTTTTGTAATTTAATAATTATACATTTTTTCCTTTTATTTTCTATTGACTTTCATTCATACCAAACATCTAAAATATCATCATTACTTTCCATTTATTTTTTATTCACTTTCAATTCCATTAACTTTTTTTCTCTTACTTTCTTTCTTTTCATTTTCCTTTTTAAACATAAATAATCAATTTGCTTCCACTGCATAACCAACATAACCAAACATACCCATAGTTTATTGGTTTATTTGTCAAGACTATTTATGTGGTGATCAAAATTTGAATTCAATCGCCACAATTTACATGAGTTTGATTTTACAATAAACAAAATTGATTTTGATTTAATTGATTTTGTAAAATTAATAATGATTGAAAGTTGATTGTTGGTAAAATAATTCATCTTTAAATAAATTGTAATAAAAATAAATTGAATAACAAATTTTAGAGTAAAAATCCCCATTAGAATAAAAGGATGTAAATGTTCAGAAATAACTAAAGATGTAATATAATTCTACATATCCAAAACCAATTATAAAACGTGAAACTAAACATTAATAATCAATTCTTCCTTTATACCTATTTAATTAAATAATAATAATAAATAATAAGTGATGCATTTATAAAACAAACAAATTAAGGTTTTGTTTGGATTAATATAATTGAATTTAATGGAGCGAAATGAGATGAAATAAAAACAATATTCTATTGTTTAAGTAATTTTAAAATAGATAGAACAGATAAAATATAATAGTATGAAATTTATTTCATTTCATTTCATCACTTACTATTATATTTATTCCTCTCTGATTAGAGAGAATGAATCATTTACTTTATTTTATCTAAAATTTTTAAACAATAGAATTTTCGTTAAACTCCACTCTAATCGTTCTATCCTTCATAATATATTTTGCTCCTAGCTTTTCGTGAAATTCAAAAATAAACTAACTATCATTTTTAACTTTTACATGTATAAAAAAGAAAATTGAGATCACAAAGCTGAAATCTTTTCCTTTTTTTTATTTGAAACACCAAATTTTCTAAAATGTACTTAGCACAATATCATTAAATAATAAATGAATTGCATCATGATATATATACATGAAATCTCATACAATATTATTGATTCGAATATAAAATGTGAAGCTTAGTCAAAATCATGTTTGATTGGCAAGAAAAAAATACAAATTTGTGAAAGAAAAAAAATCATAGTTGAGGTGAAAATTTTAGTTTAAGTTTAAAGTTAACTACATTTATGTTTAATTGTATAAATAGTTTATAAATTAGAGATAGGTTATGCATACCTACTTAAATTGAATTTTTTTATTTAAGTAGGTATGCATTAACCAAATTAATGTTTGATTGGCCTGAAGAAAAAAACTACAAATTCAAATTCAATTATAGGGACAGTCTGTTTTAGGTTTAAAGAAAATTTTTTTTTTATATTTTAAAAAATAAATATTATAAAATTGTATTTCAAAATATTATAAAATTTTATATTATTTTTTAAAAATTAAAATATTAATTTTGATATCATATAACATAAATATAGTTGAAATCACAAATTTTTTTAATTGTATATCATAAATGATTTTTATGAAAAACTATTTAAAATAGTTTTAAAATTAAATATTTTTTATTTTGATATTTTAAAAAATCAATAAAATATCTAAAATATTATTTTAAGGGCTAAATATGTTTTGGTCCCTATAAATTAATAAATTTTGTTTTTTGTCTTTGTAAAAAATTATGACATGTTTCAGTCCCGACTAAATTATTATGCACATAATTTTAGTCTGAGTTGTTAAATCAATATCTATTTTTTAATCATCATTTTTCCGACAAGTTTAGAACTTTATAAAAAGTGCCTCGACAAAAAAAAAACACTTAAAATTTGATTTCTAAGTCGAGATTTTCATTACTTTTATCAATATTTTTTAAAATTTTAAAAAATCATATTTAATTCTTCTCATTTTATAAAATTCTAAATTTTTGTAAAAAAATATTTTATAATATTCTAAACGTGTATGATAAAAATTATTCAAAAATTAAAAAAGTTTAAGGATAATTAAACTATTTTTAAAATTTTATAAAATAACATGAACTAAAACCGCATGAATAAAACAAATTTTAGGGACCAAAATATGTCATTTTTTAATAGGGACTAAAAATAAAATTTGAGATATTTATAGAGAGAAAAAACATATTTAACCTTTATTTTAATAATAATTATTCTAATCAAATTTTTATTTGAGTTTTAATGAAAAAAAATTTTGTAAACTTTTTTACACAAAATTATATAATTCTATAAAATTATTTATAAAAAAAAAATACAAAACAAACGGATGCATAAATTGATCTACCACAAATATTATTAGACTTTTGTTTGGTAAAAATAAGGATCGAAGGATAAGTTAGTTTATAACTTATAATTGATGGTTGATGACGAATAGTTTATACCAGATAGCGAATGATTTATAGCTAATAAGTTAATTGAATTGTTTGATAAAAATAATAGTTCAATTAATTAATAAATTAAAATAACATAAAAGATGTTTAATATATAATTATTTTATTTTAAATTAAAATAAATTATAAATAATAATATTAGATTTTAGTTAAAATAATAAAGATAAAGTAGAAGAAAAAATAATAAAATATAAATTAAAACGTTAATTGAAATAGCGTTTTAGAAATAAACTAGTAAAATAGATTATAAACTCATAATAAAAAAAATGTTACCCAAAATATTTTTTATTGTCATACAAGTCTATAAATTATAAACTCAAAAAATTTATTGGCAAAAGTTGGATTTAACTTAAAGATAAATTGAAAGAACCTAAATACACATCTATCTAAAACAATTTTCTAAGCTTGATTTTACTCCTAAAAAACCTCAGAATTACTATGACCCAATTTCAAATTTCAATGAAATAAAAAAACTGAAGTATTGCATAAATAAATATTGGTATAAAGTTGTAGCGTTAGAACTATCAAATTATGAACGAATTTGATTTGACAATCAAACATAAAACTCATGTGAGTAACCATAAATAATTTCTACCAAATTCTAGTAATGAATTTTCCACCAATCACACAAAATTCAAATTTTTATGTTCTAACAAGAACAACAATACTAACAAATAAATAATGAGCATATATGAGAATGGAACTTACCTCTTATAAGATGAATGAATGATGATCTGTTTGATGGAAATAGGGAGAAAACCGGAGGGTTGATGGTGCTGCTGCTCAGTGGTAGCTATATGTCGATTTGGTAGAAGTAGTTGGTAGTAATAACCGATAGTTTATACTTAATAATTTTTTGTTAGAACTTATAGTCAATAAATTAACATGAGTGTTTATAAATTAATTGTTTTAATAGTTGATAAATACAAAATAATATAAAAGGATATTTTAATTAAAAATTGACAGTTCATTATCCTATGAGTATATTATATTATTAAATTAATTGATATTCAATAAAAATAAATTTATTAATAAATACATACAAAACAATTTTAATATATATGAAAAACTAAATATAACTTCAAAATATATTAAATTTA